GGGCATCGCTTCTCAGTCCACTTTGTCGATATCCTTTAGAATTGTTTTTGTTTTTATTATGTCTCCTTTGTTCCTCCCTTCTTACAGCATGTTGAGGTTCATTTCTGACTCTTCGTGGCTCGTCTCTTGGTTCAGGAAAATGCTTTGTTGCATCTGAACTGATGCTGGTCTCTTGGTCTTCAGGGAAGGGATCTATGCTGGCGCTGCATACTTGAGGCTGAGTCTCGTATATGTTGCATAAAGCCGTGTAAAGGCTAGCCAGGCATTTGCTAATTTCTCACACGCTGCAGTCTTTATTCTGCCCATCGCGTCTAGTGTAGAATAATGTGATCGTTCTTCTCTAATACTGGAAGATATTTCATCTTCATCCCATGTTCCTAGCCATTTCTCAGACAATGACGGCAGAGTGTGTAGCTCCTCTTACATTCGCCAATAATCTTACTCTGTTTTTGACTTGTCTCAATATGGAAATGACCAATTGTGCTCCCTTTATCGGGGCGTCGTTAACACGCACACATTCACATATTCACACACAATTATTACACACACACACACACACACATATAAGTAGGATAAAGACAGCAGCGTACTCTACACTGGCAAAAGTTAGAACATCATTCAGAAACCTAAGTAAGGAGGCATTTAGGGCGCTTTACACTGCCTACGTAAGGCCAGTCTTAGAGTATGCCGCCTCATCATGGAGTCCTCATCTGAAGAAGCATATAATGAAACTGGAAAAGGTTCAGAGGTTTGCAACGAGACTCGTCCCAGAGCTACGAGGGATGGGGTATGAGGAGCGCCTGAGGGAACTGTGCCTTACGACACTAGAAAGAAGAAGGGAGAGGGGGGGACATGATAGGAACGTATAAGATACTCAGAGGGATTGACAGAGTGGACATAGACGAAATGTTCACACGGAATAGTAACAGAACGAGGGGACATGGATGGAAGCTTGAAACTCAGATGAGTCACAGAGATGTTAGGAAGTTTTCTTTTAGCGTGAGAGTAGTGGGAAAATGGAATGCACTTCAGGAACAGATTGTGGAAGCAAATACTATTCATAATTTTAAAACCAGGTATGATAGGGAAATGGGACAGGAGTCATTGCTGTAAACAACCGATGCTCGAAAGACGGGATCCAAGAGTCAATGCTCGATCCTGCAGACACAACTAGGTGAGTACAACTAGGTGAGTACACACACACACACACACACACACACACACACACACACACACACACACACACACACACACACATATATGGATGTGTACTAACATATGATATTGCATGATCTATCTATCTCTCTCTGTCTAACCTAAGAGTAGGACTCATAAGGGTTGGTGTTGATATTCCTATTGGAAGTGCAGGCTAATCAGAGCTGTAGTCCTCTTCCAGGCCCTCGTTATCTTCCTTGATCCACACACACTGTTTCACTCTGCCCGTCTCGCCCTCAACACTGCTATACTCTCCCGGCAATGTTATCTTTTCAATCACCTTTCAATGTAATATTTTTTTTGGACTCATCCTTCCCAATCCTCGTTCTGTATAATAACATCGGACTCCAGATGAGGCATTTGTTTTCTTTCTTACTCCGTTTTTTAACCGGGTTTCTCCTGAAACTATTGGATCTTGCATGATTTTGCTATATATGAAATAATCTTTTAAACCCTTAATTTTAAATCAAGCTTCGAGTGGGAAGAGGGTGAGGGGAGGAGGGAGATGAAGGCGGCGGATTGGGAGGGGGGATTCACAATCACATAAAAAAAAAAGAGAATGATTATTTCCTGGCTGTTAATCTGTTCCGTGGCTGGTGGGTGCCCCCGGGCTCAGGGTCACAACAAACACACTTCAAAGGCTGCCTGGGCTGCTATCACCCCCACCAACTGTTGCCTGTTATTAGCCCCCTCTCTCTTCTCTCTCTCTCTCTCTCTCTCTCTCTCTCTCTCTCTCTCTCTCTCTCTCTCTCTCTCTCTCTCTCTCTCTCTCTCTCTCTCTCTCTCTCTCTCTCTCTCTCTCTCTCTCTTTGTTTATCCTCCTCTCTTAAGCCTCCCCCGTCATGTTTTTGACTACCTCCTCTGCCCCCTTGACGGGGGTCGCTTATTTCAGTGGAAAACGAGAAGCAGATCTGTTGATACACAGATTTTCACTCGGATATCGGTCAAATATATTGATACCACCAGTGCAATTAGAAAATGTATAAATGTATATATTTTTCCATTGGAATATCAGATAAGAGATATGCCTCTGAAAGGCCTATCGCCTACTCCTACCTATCGCCCGTCAGGTAAAGATCAAATTAAATTTTTATTACCTCAAAAAATGCCAACGTTTGATTATTTAATATCTAAACGTATGTGTACAATTTTTTTTACTGTAAAACAATTACAAAATCCATTACTATTTTTAATAATCATTCACTGAAAATCGTAATATTAGCTTTAATAATTGTTCTGTAAAAATCGCATTATTCAGTTCAATGAATCTTAGTTTTGCTATTTTTTTGCAATAATTAGTTAAACCTGAGTCCTTCAGTAGAATTTCAGTAAAAAATAAAGAATATTCGCACAAATATATTTCACTAAGGCTCAGATATCCTCCTCATCAATTACTGAATAACTTTTACCAGAGTTCGCTTCAACTGATCGAAGTCTCTTCAAGTTCATTTAAGTTCGGTACAGAGTTGAGTGCTGCTAAATTAGTGAAAAAGCAAACTTGAGTCAACGTTTCACAGTTACCGCGTCATCACCATCACACAGTCACCGCATCTGCACCATCACATAATCACTACGTCAACACCATCACACAGTCACCGCATCTGCACCATCACATAATCACTACGTCATCACCATCACACAGTCACCGCATCTGCACCATCACATAATCACTACGTCATCACCATCACACAAATATCTTACCCTTAACATCAGGGAAAATATATATCCCAATATCATGGGAAATATTACTCTGGCATAATTGGTTATCTCAATAACATTACACAACACAAATGTAAAATACTTCTTGATTTCATTGTGTAAGAGCACATCTTCTTTACATCATAACATCAACAGGAAAATATAAGCCTGGGGAAAAACAACTTTCCCCAGTAAACAAGATGAGCTGAGGTATGTTAACAGCTCTTGTTTGCAGTTTCACTGGGAACTCCAATTGACAGCCTTAACCCTGGAAACACAAACCGAAACTGTCTCTATTTTCCGCTTGTTACAACTTGTAATAAAGTTGTTACATCTTGGCTTAACGTGTTTATGACGTATTAGAACGTTGTTACAACTTGCTATATTGGTTGTTATAACTGGTTAGGTGTTAAAACTTGTTCGAACGTTGTACCAACGTCGTAGTTTCGGTGTGTGTTTGGTGGGAATGAGCCCTAGTTTTTGTAAAAAAAAGTACTATGGGAAACATCCCTTAGAGTTAGAAAAGCATCATCCATGGACCAAAAAATCATCTGTGGAAAATATAGTCCTAATACCATAGAAAACATTACCACAGCACCAGGAAAACATCAGCTTAACGTTAGAAACATCATCAAAGCATCAAGAAAACATCGGCCTAGCATTAGAAAAATCCACTGTATTACCAAGAAAACATCAGCTTAGCATTAGAAAACATCAGCATAGCATCAATAAAACATCAGCTTAACATTAGAAAACATCACCATAGCATCAAGAAAACATCAGCTAAGCATTAGAAAACATCACCATAGCATCAATAAAACATCAGCTTAGTATTAGAAAACATCACTGTATCACCAGGGAAAACATCAGCTTAGCATTAGAAAACATCAGCTTAGCATTAGAAAACATCATCACAACACCAAGAAAATATATCGCCTGTAAATGCGAAAAATATAGAATTTTATGGACTATGAAAAATCTTTACATCTACCTGTCCAAACTGAGTCATGCTATTCACCTCCTGCCTCTGTATGGCGCGTGATACACCGACGTGAATCATACGTGTGTATGACACAGTATGTTAATCCACAATGCAGAATTATGCGCTAACACATTTGTGTTCCGTTTCAAAAATTCAAAACCAATCAATGACCAATCTAATTACTTCAAAACATCATAAGCCAATCATGTATGGGCAAACCAATTAGTGAACAGTGTCAGGAAAGCATCTAGCGAATTATATTGTAGTGGTTCAATTCAAGGCCGTTCTTAGAGGGATAGAGACTCAATTAGCTACTGCGGGACTGGATTTGCTCCTGTTTACACACACACGGGAAGACGTTGTCTGAGCTGCGTCATAAGGATAGGATTGTTAGTGATTTGAGGACGATTGGAATGTCTTCTTCGGCTTGACTCGCTCAATGGGCAGGCTTTCAAGGGTATAACTCTTCTTGAGAGACTCCGGAGGTCCACCTGAAGATGTTGTGAGTTGTCCTCCAGCCTAGGTTATCGTTGGTGTGTACTACCTCTTAGCTCTTCAGAGGTCGTAAATTGCTTCTTAGTAAGTGAATACCAATCCGCCATGGAGGTACGAGGTAGAGGGAGCGTAAGTGATCACTCAAGGGCTTTGTGAATCCTGGTCCGGCTGAATTACTCACATTTGGTAAAATGTTACATCAGTTTTATTACCGAAGCTGTTATAATAATGAGTACACTCCTTGGGTATATATATACCTGTTTGCTAGGGACCGCAACTGGCAGTTTACCTTGCCAATTGCAACAATAGCAGCAGGTTTACAGACCTGAGATTTTATGGCTCAACAAATTACAAACATTAGGCAAGTAACGCGGGGAACTTTTCAGTGTCTTTCGAATCTCAGAGTCAGGTGCTGCTTGTTCGGTGATTGTTTGTTGTTTAGAGATTGTTTGCTGCTTGGAGATTGTTGTACTAAAAGAATAGAAGCAAGCAAAACAAAATTGTTTACGAATATTCATACTTTATATGATATGAGTTGAGAATTCGCGCTATGAATGACTCACTACTGACGGCTTTTCACTATTTGATGACTCCTGATGACTCACTATAGATGGCTTTCAATATAAGTAATGTTATTGATGACTCCCGATGGTAATTATTCTCACTATTGATTCTCATTATTGACTATTCTCACTACTGATGTTTCCCACTATTTAGTAACAGTAACTACTCCACGATACAGTTGAAACTACTACAACAAATAGCACCAAAACGGCGCTGCTTATCCATCAAGGAATTTTAGCATCATATCGAAATCCCAACGTCAGGAAAACATTGTAATGTCGCCAGGGAAATGTCACACTAACAATTAGAAAAATCTCCCTAGCAGAAGGAAATCTTACCCTACCACCAGAAAAGTCTTACTCTAGCTTCTAACGTATTACTCTAATTCCAGGGAAAAAAAAGTATCTAAGCCCAGAAAAATATACCCAAAGTATCAGAAAAGTGCTATACCTCGCAAATCATCTCTATAAGATCAGGAATAATATTAGATTGTAAGTTGAAAATATTAAAACAAACATTGCTAAAATATCCTTTTAAGACGAGGAAAATATCACAGCAGTAGCAAATTACTCTGAAACCAGGAAAACATCATCTTAGCCGCAATGGACCATTTTTTCCCTAGCACCAGGGAAAATATCGTAGCCCCCAGACAAACATCCAAGCCACGGGGAACCAAGGACCCTAGTACCAAGGACCCTAGTACCAAGGACCCTAGTACCAAGGACCCTAGTACCAAGGACCCTAGTACCAAGAACCCTAGTACCAAGAACCCTAGTACCAAGGACCCTAGTACCAAGGACCCTAGTACCAAGAACCCTAGTACCAAGAACCCTAGTACCAAGGACCCCTAGTACCAAGGACCCTAGTACCAAGGACCCTAGTACCAAGGACCCTGGTACCAAGGACCCTAGTACCAAGGACCCTAGTACCAAGGACCCTAGTACCAAGGACCCTAGTACCAAGGACCCTAGTACCAAGAACCCTAGTACCAAGGACCCTAGTACCAAGGACCCTAGTACCAAGGACCCTAGTACCAAGGACCCTAGTACCAAGAACCCTAGTACCAAGGACCCTAGTACCAAGGACTCTAGTACCAAGAACAATAGTACCAAGGACCCTAGTACCAAGGACCCAAGTACCAAGAACCCTAGTACCAAGGACCCTAGTACCAAGGACCCTAGTACCAAGAACCCTAGTACCAAGGACTCTAGTACCAAGAACCCTAGTACCAAGGACCCTAGTACCAAGAACCCTAGTACCAAGGACCCTAGTACCAAGAACCCTAGTACCAAGGACCCTAGTACCAAGGACCCTAGTACCAAGGACCCTAGTACCAAGAACCCTAGTACCAAGGACCCTAGTACCAAGAACCCTAGTACCAAGGACCCTAGTACCAAGGACCCTAGTACCAAGAACCCTAGTACCAAGGACCCTAGTACCAAGGACCCTAGTACCAAGGACCCTGGTACCAAGGACCCTGGTACCAAGGACCCTAGTACCAAGGACCCTAATACCAAGAACCCTAGTACCAAGGACCCTGGTACCAAGGACCCTAGTACCAAGAACCCTAGTACCAAGGACCCTAGTACCAAGGACCCTAGTACCAAGGACCCTAGATCTCGAGAGGTCGTCTCCTTGGAACAAGGAAGACTTTTCACCCAATCATCAGAAAAGGAGCACCTAGGAACTAGGAAGCTGTTACCTTAACTCCAGAAAAGCAGAGCCTTTACATCACTTGAGTGGCACCATGTGAGAGAACACATCACCCTTGAGACATACGAATAACTTAGTACCATGTACTCTGCTACATAGAGTCTACCCGGCTTGGTGCCTTCTTTTGATAATTACTTAGTAGCAGACAAATATCACCTTGTGCAAGAAAAACATCATATTTACATGAGAAACCCTTCATATTACCACTAGAAATCAATCATATTAACATGAAAAAAGCATCATAATAAGACGAGAAAGAATCACATTTGAACTAAAGAAACATCAGGTAAATACGAACGCGAGAAGCCCGTCGCGGCAGCATAAAAAACATCAACTTAGCATGAGGAAAGCTCCATTGGGCCAACTCGCCTACCTTAAATTCAAGGGAAGAAAGTCACAGGAGCTCAAATCTGGCCAAACTTTCCAGTCCATTAAAAAGTTGGTAAAAATATTAGCCCAAATTAAGGCGCAAACTTTGAAGGAGGAGGTGAGGGAGGTCTTGAGGCCCCTCAAACTAGCAAAGTGGTCACGTGAGGCAGCCGAGGAAGTGTGTGATGCGGGCACAGGCTGACGGGCGTAGTTAGTGAGGAGACAGCCATGGTGGGATGTAATTAGCAGGCAGACATGGACGGGCTCACACACACACACACACACACACACACACACACACACACACACACACACACACACACACACACACACACACACACACACACACACACACACACATGATCACCACATTCAAGATTCTCAAGGGAATTGACAGGGTTGATAAAGACAGGCTGTTTAACACAAGGGGCACACGCACTAGGGGACACAGGTGGAAACTGAGTGCCCAAATGAGCCACAGAGAGATATTAGAAATAACTTTTTTAGTGTCAGAGTGGTTGACAAATGGAATGCATTAGGAAGCGATGTGGTGGAGGCTGACTCCATACACAGTTTCAAGTGTAGATATGATAGAGCCCAATAGGCTCAGGAACCTGTACACCTGTTGATTGACGGTTGAGAGGCGGGACCAAAGAGCCAGAGCTCAACCCCCGCAAGCACAACTAGGTGAGCAGGCGATGAGTCACAATAACGTGGCTGAAGTATGTTGACCAGACCACACACTAGAAATTGAAGGGACGACGACGTTTCGGTCCGTCCTGGACCATTCTCAAGTCGATTGAGAACTAGGTGAGTACAACTAGGTGAGTACACACAGTTGATTGACAGTTGAGAGACGGGACCAAGGAGCCGAAGCTCGACCCCGCAAGCACAACTAGGTGAGTATACACAGACACACACAAGGGAACAGTAGGAGGAGAATCACCTTGACTGTTGGACTTGAGCTTCACCAAAAATGAGGAAGATATTGAAAACTTGGAGCATAAAATTCCATTAGGAACCAGCTACCAATTCCTCCTGGTCTTAACTAAATAATAAAAATGAATCCAGCCCTCAAAAAGTCAGGGAAGCAAGAGAATGAGACTACAGAAAAGGTAATTACAGCCTTATTTTCGAAAAGGTATTTTAGATGTTTAAATATAATATCATTCATATGACGTTTCGTGCTCTAACTTGGGTTGATACCTTCAGAACAGTATTTATGTTCCCCCTTGTTAACCTCTACATTCATCTGTACTCATCAATCGTGTCTTCTATTGGGCTACACCTTTCTGGGTAATGTGTATTGAGTCCTGATGATATTGTATACTTCATCCTCCTCATCACGTCACGTACACCCATTATATACACACCTCATCCAACCACGCCCTCTTACGGGCTCACCATAGCCCGTGCTACATGGACACTTCGTTCTGAGTAGCTAAATATAAAACAACAATCACCACGCCCTTCCCCAACTCACCCCACAATCCCATTTGTCAATAACCCTCTTCCCCACAATCAACAATACTCTTCTCCCTTCCTTCAATTGCCCTAACCAAACCATCGTGTCTATCTCTCCCTTCACCTTTCCACTGCTTATATCCCATCTTTACGTATCCCCTTCACCTTTCCCCCCCCCCACTCACCCTCCTCTCCCTGTAATTAATCTTTAGAAAAACAGGTAAGCGGCTTTGGAAACTTCTCACGTTTTAATGACACCCTCGTGGTCGGCCAGCCTCAGCGGCCCTTCAGGAGGACCAGCCTCTCTCTCAGTCCTCCTCCAGCCGCTGCTCATAGTCTCCTGCCACTCTTTGTACTGCCCGGGAGGACCACACGACGCATGAAGGGACACTCCCGAAGTTAGCGTTGAAAGTGTACGGTGTAGCGTTTAATCATCGTAGCAATCGATGTATATGTGTTAGGGCGCTGGTGGCTGAGTAGATACCACGCTGGACACGTACAGCATGAGCAGAGTTTCTTTCACCTTGATGTCCCTGTTACCTAGCAGTAAATAGGTACTGGGAGTTAGACAGCAACGGGCTGCTTCCTGGGGATGTGTGTGTGCGCGCGTGCGCGTGTGTAAGAGAGAAATATATGTAGTAGACATACAAGAGGAAAAATAAATTGGTTAATATGGCGGGGTCCAAGAGCTAATAGTTCGATTCTACAGGCACAAATAGAAAATACAAATAGGAAATACACACACGCACACGACATTGTGAGAAAATAATTTTTTTTTACATTTGTTTCTCACTAATGCTAATGTTGGCAATCCTTCATCAAACAATAATATTTGGTAAATATTGTAGCAATATGAATTGTAATCTGCGCTAATGAAGACTAAACCAGTCTGAAACAACTCGATAACAACTTACCAGTAATAACGACGAGGCAGAAAATGGCCTCACATATAGTGTGGAAGAGGACCATCCCAGCCTCGCCTACAGTGTTATTGCCACACAATACAACCCTTAAGGACACTAGAGCAACAGTCTCGGGAAATATTCTTACGCTTGCAGCCGTAGCAGTGAGAGGAGATGGCATCAATGTAGTGAAACGGGGCCCTTCAACTACTGCAATGGTGCCGTAGTCTCTTCCCTGTACTCATGTTTCCTGGTCTTGTGTCGCTTTGTTTTGGTTCCTCCCTTTGTTGCTCTTGTTCTAACTTCTCTGTCTCTTTGTTGTGCTCTCTCTCTCTCTCTCTCTCTCTCTCTCTCTCTCTCTCTCTCTCTCTCTCTCTCTCTCTCTCTCTCTCTCTCTCTCTCTCTCTCTCTCTCTCTCTCTCTCTCTCTCTCTCTCTCTCTCTCTCTCTCTCTCTCTCTCTCTCTCTCTCTCTCGTTTTTGTTCTGTTGACCTCACTCTTCTCCTTTTTATGTTGGTTTATCTCTCCTCTCTTTTGCTGTTGGTCTATCTAAGCTATCCAATTGTGTTAGTCGCGATTATCTCCTCAGTCGATGAGAAGCAAGAACTCTGCTATCATATAGTTGACACAAACTGCATGTTTCTTGTCAATCATTTAAAGTGGAGAATGTGTCGACTGCCAATCATCAACAACAATAACTTTGGAACATATTAAAGTAACATCATGGATCGAAATAACTTATCTCCCTTGTTTCGACGCACATACAAGCAATCTTGAAACGCGGCTGAACAAGTGGTGTAGTATCTTGGTGAGTGGCGCCAGATGGAGGGAGACAGAGGGTCTGACCACCACCAGCAACTCCATCATCACAATTACTGCGTCGCCAAAGCTAGCTACTGCGGACGGTTCGGCGCCTCCACCCCCCTCACTCTCACACACACACATATATGCAAGCCCAGACTCTTGTACACACAACCACGCGCTCAGATACTCTGAGTATGGTGCTCTCCAGTGGTGCTGCTCTCCAGTGGTGCTGCCTTCCACTGGTGCTGCCCTCCACTGGTGCTGCCCTCCACTGGGACTGGGGGAGAAGAAATGTTTTACGAACTATTATGGTCCTCGATTTTGAACCATGAAGCAACGAAATTGTTGTGAAGCACTTTGTGGTCAGCAGTGAAGGTGCCGGACTCCTTCTACAGACTCTGATCCCTGGAGCATTATCTTCATTCTACACCTCGTAGACCAACATCAGACTTGTCTTACCTCTAGTCTTGCTGTTGTGCTACGCCGGACACACACTTCTGTCACATTTAGCGTGCCACTGGTGCAATTTTTCACGGTACGCCTTAAGAGTTGAACCGGTTCATCCACCGCTCAGCGTGAGGGGGATATGGTTCCCTCGGCTCTCATCTCCTCTGCTTTGACGAAATTTTCGAACGTGGTTGAGGCTGGAAGGTGTGTGTGTGTGTGTGTGTGTGTGTGTGTGTGTGTGTGTGTGTGTGTGTGTGTGTGTGTGTGTGTGTGTGTGTGTGTGTGTGTGTGTGTGTGTGTGTGTGTCTTCGCCAGGAATGAGCCTTAGCTCTTGGGACACGCTTCTCACAATGGACTAGCGTAATTGTTTCGAAACGATTTTGGTACTGCAATATATTCTTGTCAAGCTGTATTCTTAGTTCCTTTCAAGTTGTTAACGATATGTCTCTGAAGACGTTATTTCTAATAATTCTTTGGCTAATCATTATCATTATTTTTATCCTAGTTTCAACAGTGTCCCCTAGTTCGTATCTTTCCCATGTGAAATAACTTGTTCGTGTCAATCCTTGTTAGTTGTCCTGGGTGCTTTGTAAGTCGTGATCATGTCTACCAGAGAACCTGAATAAAATATGGAGATGATCTGGAAAATGGCTTTTCGACTTCAAGCAAATGAAAGGTGAATGTATTTGAGACAGGGATGAGGGTGGGGGGGGGGAGGAAAGGTGTACGATGATGGGAAGGCAAATGCTTAAGTCAGGAAAGGACAAGTATCTGGAAGTAGACAAACCCAAGTCCATCGTTGAAGGTACACAGTAACAAGATAACATCAGCGGCATGCGCTAAGCTACTCAACATTCGTGTAACCTTCAGGTACCTTGACACGGAAGCCTTCAATACATTGTACACTACCTATGTTAGACCAGTGCTAGAATATGCAGCCCCAGTTTGGATTATCCCTCCACTGAAAAAACCACAAAGAATAATTAGAGAAAGTCAAAAGACTTGCAGC